TCTTTATATAAGATATTTATTTATAAGTATTTATATATATATAGTATTCTCTGTGAGGTGCATAGGTACTCTTATAAACTAGTAAGAAATAGTAGTAAAAAATGTGAACGCACTTGGTTGAATCTCACCTGTGCTCAGGGTATAGTCCCAGCTGGTGTCTGTCTCATTCTTATAAACATTCAATTTCTCCGGCTATAAAAGTGGACACATTTTGATATAGCATACATATATATATATATGAATATGATTGGATCATTCGGGTAACTCACCTTGGCAAAATCAATTTTAAGAGTGCAGCATCCGGCATAGATGTCGGCTCCATTGAGATTCTCGCGTGCACGTGTAGCCGCATCGAGGCTATCAAATTCAACCATGGCCTGAACGCCGTTCTTTTTGAAGATGACAATGCGCAGCACTTGGCCATGTGGATTGCAAATTTTATGCAAGACATCCTGCAAGAGACAAAACGAGAGAGAGAGAGAAACGAAACGAAATTAAAATTGAGATTGAAGCCAGTCGAGAGTTAACATCAAATTGAAAGCCTCTGCCGCTGGCAGTCCCAACTGTCATATGCAGGCCGGCCATACAACCCGACCCCGAAAAAAAAAAAAAAAAATGGAAAACACACAAAAAAGAGAACCAAACAAAGCAAAAACAGGCCAAAAAGCTGCCAACGAGTTTTCTGCCCTAACCCCCCGCAGCAACCTCCCGCACTGTCCTCTGACTAATTAATAAACAAGCACCATGCAGCAGACACAAAAGCAACAGCAACAGCAACAGCAATGACAACTGCAAAAAATGGCTGCAGTCTCTACCACACACACACACACAGACACACATTGACATATACAGTCTGACTGACATTTCAGTAGAAACAATTCTCAGTCGAGCTGCAAATAACATGGCACTCCGCAACGGTTCAAAAATGCTAATTTTCTAGGCTGGAAAACACACAGCTTTTGAGATTTAAAGGAATTTTGTCTCCGGCGTTTTATAAGCTAATCTCTTTTTGATTGTTTCTGAGCTAAAGGAATTATTATAACGAAGCATTTGAACCATTTTTTATTAAGCCATGAAAAGCTGGTAAATCGAGATATAAGTGTTTTGTTATGGATCGGAACAGCAAAGATTTGTGATATAAAGCGTTATTAAGCAGTAGTTAAAGCAGCTGCACTAGCATAAATATTTTCCATACAAAGGTTCCTTAGTTTTTTGCAGTGTAAACAAAATTGTGAGAAATATATATAGTCTCAAACATAAAATAAAAACATTGTTCCGCTACGTAGATTATAATATTTATTTTTCACAATTTATTTTAAGCACCAGCAAGCAACAATTATGTCTTGCTGTTCGCTCCCATCAAATGGTAATATTTTAACCTATCGATACACCCAGAGCTGCAGTATTTAAACCAGAATTAATTATAATCTTAGGTTACTGCTAATCATGAGCAAGCGCTATTCGTACTGTCTTTTGCTATATGTGGAGAGTATATTTAAAGCATATCCAGAGCTATCGGCACACGAGCATCGGCTCTAATCGAACAATAGCTGCTCTCTACTCATACGAGCCTTGGCTGAGCACGATTCGAGCCGAGCCGAATGCATACGTATATAAGGAATCAAGATAAAACTGATGGAATGACCTCAATCTCTTTATAAATCTATTTCATCAATTGCCGCTCTTCAAGAAAAATGTGAGAGGCACTTGCAGAGTCCTAAGAAACCAGGTAAAATTGTATAGAATATTCTATATATTTGTACTCTAAAAAATATTATAAAATATTATACTTCACTTTATATCTCACATATAAAATTGCATATATATATTTATATTTGTAAACTATTGAAATTAAATAAATCTTATCAACAATCTGTGCTGTAAGTCAAATTTTCGTTTTATAGCTTCACGAATGCCTTACAGAATAAATGCAACAACAAAACATTGAGCGGAAAATATTGTCGAAAACTTTTCATCGTATTGTTAAGCCCGGTAAATTAATTTTCAAGAATATTTAATCTTCATCCGCTTTTGTTTTTCTCATTTTATGATAAATAAAATAATAATAGCAGCACATTTAAAGTTCTCTGGCATCTGTAGTTAACTGCTTTGTTGCGTGCTTTTCTTTTTTGGCCCGATAATTGGAATTTTTCGTTTGGTTGGTTTACAGTTTGCCTGGCTCGGTCGGCCCGCTAGCCTAGACCCGAAAAATTGTTGGCATTTTCACTGACAGTTGGCGCTGGTAAAACTCATTAGCATAATTTAATAAGCAGTTATTGTCTAGGGCCAAGTGCGAAAGAATTTTCAGACAGAACACAGCCGAAAGTACATTTTCCAATTAACATTTATAAATTTTCGAAAATTACGTTAATGAGTTTTCCAAGCAGCCGCCAGGCAGCGCGACGTGTCTTAAGACATAATACCATAAATATATATTTATGCCTACGTACATACATATATATCTTAATTTATATATATATATATGTATTTCTGAATTGATGGCAAATTATAATGAGTTGCTTTTGGCATGGAAATTTATGCTAAATTTAAGCTGCAAAATGTTCGTCTTCGTCTCATTTCGTTGCGTGCCTATTTATTCATTTAAGAGCACAAAATATTTACAAGGCAACCAGGATGTTTCTCCCCCTAATGGGTTAAATGTTCAATTTGTAGAAGTTTTCCTCCTGGGGAATGGGGCCCAGAAGTGGATTCGCTCTCTCATTGTCTTTCAGGCGGCGCATAAATCTTGTCGAGAGCGCTGAGGCTAAATATATTTTGTTATTCATGAAATTCATCGATAAGTCGGGCACAACAAATTTGGCGCTCTTGTTGAAAATGTTTGCACAGATTTTCCAATCAACAGCACGAAAAGGACGATTTGGGGCGGGGCCGGCAGTAATTGACAGCACAAAGAATGGCTGGGCGTTGCGAATGGAGGCTTGATTAAGTGGCTTATAAGAAGAGCCAGCCTAAAGAATTTGCTTTATGCTTTTCGTTTTTCTTCTCTCTTTTTTGTGTGTGGTTGGCTTAGCACAAAATGAAGATTAAAAGGCAGGACTTAGGGCGGTTTCTGCCCGTTAGCAAGGATTACTTTTAATTTGTTGCACTGCCAGTTGGCTAGAAGCAGATCCCACAGCATAAACAAGTTATTGATGAAAACAGAAAAATTTTAAAGTCAATTTATGAATAAACAAATCAATTATTATGCTTAGCCTATGCTCTCTATACCCTCTCTCTCTCTCTCTCTCTCTCTCTTTTGTATGTATTAGAAATTAATGCAATGCTCGATTGCTTGGTTTTCAAATCTTCTTTGGCTTTTGAAGTGTTTGCCATGGCAGTGGAAAATTGCTTTGCATTAATTAGCGTATCTGGGCACACTCGCACACACACACGCACGCATATACTCAGCTGTGACTACACTTGAGTCATATTTAATCCTATCCAATTACCAGCGAACAATGAGAGTGCCGTACATACACTCAAATTACAAAACTGACGTTGACTACCATGATAACATAATCACGCCCTTGTCCACTAGGACAATACATATACAACTTGAGACGGTCAGCCTTTCAGCTTTTAGCATATCAGAAAGCAGCACGCGCCATCTATTCGTTCATTCATTCATTCATGCACTCACACATTCATTCAGTGAATAAGCTGTCTCTCTCATTAACCAGACTCATTTACTTCTCTTGCACTTTTCTCAGCTGCTCAATGATTGCGACATTTGCAATAATTGCGCACATTTCGACCGTCCACCCACATGTCCAGCCAAAGAGCTGGCTGGTCTAGACTTGGTGTAAATTGCAATAAATGCTGGAAAATTGTGGAGACTAAAGAAGGAAAATAAAATAAAATATTATCAAGTTGGGAGCAGCCAGCAGCCAGCAGCCAGCAGCTGGCAACTCGGCCAAGAAGTGAAATGCATAACTATAAAGCGCACTGCCAGCAAAAACTAATTAGAAAAGTTCTGTGGTGCAGGCGGACGAAGTGGAAAGAGGAAATACTTGTTTTCCTTTCAATGAAACAAGCTGTGGACATCACAGCAGCTGGCAAGTGTTGTGGATGGCTGAGTGTGTGTGTATGTGTGTCTCTGCTCTCTCTTTGTATGCGAAGCGATGAGCAGGCATTATTAATAATTAAGTAATAGAACACACACTTTAATATGCTTGCTTAGTATGTATGGCTGGTGTATGTGTGTGTGTGCGAGCGCATGTGTGTGTGTTAGTAAATGAAAATGTGGCTAATAAAACAGCGAAGAAAGTGACTAGCACCCAAGGACCTACTGTTTTAGCAGGAATTCACTATGAATATTTAACCAACATAGGAATAATTATATGGAAATAGTGCTAGACGTATGTATATGCCAAATTGATTGGGCCATGAAGTTATGATCAAAGAAATTTTAAAAAGTTATTCATTATGTATTTATACTTATATGTATTTATGTTTATTATGTTATTTATTACAATAAACTAAATTTTTGTTATTAATA